TGTCACATGACCACCATAAATGGTAAAAAGATAGAGTTCAGAGCTGATCAACCGAGAAGATAAGGGCTCTGGAGGTTAAATTGTATGGTGAATGGTTGAGGGAATTTGGTATGTCTACACTCTCGAAGAGAAGGATCAGGGCAGAGAGTCACTGAGAGCACTCAGTCTACTTATTCTCCACAGGACCAGAGGACAGGACAAGAAACTTGTTAAAAGAGAGATCCAACCTAGAACTACGGAGAAATTTCCTGACAGTGATTACAATTAATCAGTGGAAGTCTTGCCTGCAGAAGTTGTGGATACTCCACCACTGGAGAGGTTTTTTTGAAAGAGATTGGACAGCCATTTGTCCGAAATGGTATAGGGCCATGATGGTGAACCTATGGCATGCGTGCCACAGGTGGCATACAGAGCCATTTGTGCAGGCACGTGAGCCCCAGTCAAACTTACCTGCACTGTGCATGTGCGCGCCTCCCAGTTCGTTTTCAGCCCGTTTGAGGCCTTTTTCAGCCTCCCAGAGGCTGGAGGGAAGCCTCTGCAGCCTTTGGAGGCTGAAAAACAGGCCCGTTTCATCACTTCCAATACTTCCGGTTTCGTCACTTCCGGTATTTGGAGATTTTGCCATGTTTTCAAGTCTGAAATTCTTGCTCCTGCCCTGCCAAACTAATTACTTCAGTTTGGCTTGATTGGACTTAAAGTGACAGTTTGTTTTGACCATGTTTTGGACTTAATTTTCTGCAGTCAAAGGCTGTTCCTGGGAGAGTTTTTCTCCAGAAAGAAGGTAACTTGGACATTTGGGGCAAAGTTGGAGCTAATAAAGGGACTCTTATTATCTGACTGTGTTGCCTTTGTGCCACATCCCGGGTCATCACAGTAACTCTATTACCATGCAGTAGATGAAAAGAAGAATCCCCTTTGATGGTTTGATTTTCTCCATTATACATGTGAGGTCCATAATCACAATCCCATTATCCACCATTTTCCTCCCCGCTAAGACTGGAAAATGTCAGCATTACCCCATTTAATCATTTAATCAGATTTTTGCTGCTATTGGTAACCTTTCTTTTCCAAGGATTTTTGTTGCTATGATAATGAGACCATGTGGGTCACAATGATTCATGTATTACTGATCTCAAAGCCAATAAACATATCTTTTTATCGTATAAATATGGATGACAAGAAAAAGGAATTCTTCTTTAAAGAATCTTCAAATAGCTGTTGTTAATAATTGCTAGCAGGCCAAAAGGGTCTCTCCTGAGGGATTTTGTTTCCTTTTTCCTGTCATAACATATTTATACTATAAGATTTAGTAGGTTCTTATTCCAGTGGTACTTCTCTTTCTGTTGTTTATACCAGATGAAAAAAAAAAAAAAAAACAGTTTCTCGCAGACATTCCAGTAGATTAAAACTGTAGAAAGATGAGGTCCTACTGCTACAGGAAGGTTTATGAAAAAAAAAGATAATTGGGTGGGTGAACTGTCATAAAAGCCCCTTTGTCTATCTGTATTTTTTGTTTTTGTTTTTTAAGAAAAATGGTTTGCATTGAGGTTTGGCAATATTGAGAAGTCTGGGTTCACCAGTTCCTTGAGTCTCCATCTTCACTTTGGACTGACTCATAATTGTTAGGAGAAGGGTTAATTGGGGGAAAACTAGACCATGATTGCTTGCCTCTAGGGATATTTAAATGAAATCCAATTTCCACTTTCAGAGAAGCTCCTGGCAAGAGGAGAATCCAGGGAGGCGTCAACAAGCAGATCTCAGACTAGAGACACAATTACATAAATAAATCTGTATCTCTAAAGCCGCCAAACAAACCCCCAATTATCCAGCCTCTTGGAAAGATGGAAGGAAAAAATCCGTGGCTTTAAAGTGGGTCTTTTATTTTTTTGCGCATTGCTGAAGTCCAATTCTTTGGGCATGGAAGGTTTCCTTCTTGCCAGCAATGAGGAGATTAAACTAGCCCAGCAGTGATGTCTGAAACTCTCTTGTTGGATAACTTTATACCTGGAGATGGGCAAAAACTGAGAGATTGCATTGGACTGAAGCTTGGCAGACAGAACTCACGGTTGATTGGGGGTTTGTTTATCTGATTAAGAAAGACATTTAGGAAAGATGGTTTGCTAGTTGTCACTTCTTACAAACTTGGAAGACACAATGGCTTCACCAAAGCCCACTTTTTTTCTGCCCAGATCATCACATTGCCCAACTGATCAGCCAGCAAAAATAATTTCAACAACTGCTTCTTTTTTCCAGGGTCTTTGCTTTGATTAGAAGATTAAAGCAATGAAGTTGTTCACACCTCTGCTTAGAACCTGACAGGTGTATTAGTTTATAAGTCCCAAGACCCATCCTAGGACCAATGAAGCTTCTGACAGTGCTTTTGGAAGGACAAAAGTCTTTAAATCTCAGCGTTCAAGGTCTTGATTTTGTTTGAGTTATTATATTGGCACATTTGCAGTGGGATGTCACTTATCTCCAGAGCTGCTATTAGCAACTTGTTTCTTGTGAATAAAAATACAAACAGGTAAAGGTTTTCCTTGCACATACGTGCTAGTCATTTCTGGCTCTAGGGAGTGGTGCTCATCTCCATTACAAAGCTGAAGAGCCAGCATGGTCTGAAGATGTCTCTGTGGTCATATGGCCAGCATGACTAAACACCAAAGGTGCACGGAACGCTATTTTCTTCCTACCAAAGGGGTTCCTATTTTTCTACTTGCATTTCTACATGCTTTCAAACTGCTAGGTTGGCAGAAGCTGGGACAAGTAAAGGGAAGTCACTCCGTTACGTGGCGCTAGGGATTCAAACCGCTGAACTGCCGACCTTTCTGATTGACAAGCTCAGCATCTTAGCCACTGAGCCACCGCGTCCCTCATAACATGTCTTTAAATCAGCCTTTAAAATTACATACTTGTAGCTGTGTTATGGAAGAGGTTGGCAAGGACAGGAAAAAACGTGATTCTTCAGATCTCTGTTAAGTCACATAGAAACATTTACTTCACGCCAAAACTTCAAAGAAAAACAAGAAAGTCCAGTTGCCACATGAAAAAGCACCTTTGGGACAACTGTGACCTGGATGACTGAGAATCTCTACAGACTTTTAGCTATACAATTTGGGATGAACACCCTTGGAATGGTGTGGGAGTAGGAATGGATTTCCAGAGGAAAAATTGCAGACTAAAGGAACTATTTGAACTACTCAAGTGACCCTGAGGACGTAGATAAACCTCCAAGTGGCCTCAATGCCTCTCTAAAAGGATGCAAATGACCAGGTGTCTGCAAGAAATATAAATCTTTCCATTCCCCACCATCCAGTCAGAGTTGAAGAAGCTTCTTGGATGAGAAGCGGAACATCTTCAAAAGAACAAACAAGGAATTCCAGTTGTCTCTTGCAAAAAGCACCTTTGGGACAACCAAGACCTGGATGACTAAGAATCTCTACAAACTTTAGGGTATTTTTGGGTCGTTGATGCAAATAAACAACCATCAATTTAGAAACCTAGCTCATATCCATTTTTATATTGTCTTTTGATTCTAAACATAGGAAGGCTGAGCAAGATCTTGGTTTCCCAAAAATTCATTTAAATACTGAAGTTGTGTTTCTGCCAGGACTTGATTTAATGGAAAGCTAAAAGTCTGCAGAGATTCTCCGTCATCCAGGTCATGGTTGTCCCAAAGGTGCTTTTTTCAGGAGGCAACTGGACTTTCTTGTTCTTTCTTTTGAAGACATTTCGCTTCTCATCCAAGAAGCTTCTTCATCTCTGACTGGATGGTGGGGAATGGAAGGATTTATATTCCTTGCAGAAAGCTGGCCATTTGCATCCTTTTAGAAGGTGCTTGAAGCACTTGGAGGTTTATCTGTGTCCTCAGGATCACCTGAATGGTGCAAATGGTTCCTGTAGTCTGCAATTTTTCATCCTATCCTATCCTATCCTATCCTATCCTATCCTATCCTATCCTATCCCATCCTATCCCATCCCATTCCATTCTGCAGGACTGCAGAAAAAACAGTTACTACCAACCTGCCTTCAATCGAGGACCTGTATACAGCACAAGTCAAAAAGAGGGCTGTGAAAATATTTACAGACTCCTCACATCCCGGACATAAACTGTTTCAACTCCTTCCCTCAAAACGACGCTATAGAGCACTGCACACCAGAACAACTAGACACAAGGACAGTTTCCCCCCCCCCGAAAGCCATCACTCTGCTAAACAAATAATTCCCTCAACACTGTCCCACTATTTACAAAGTCTGCACTACTATTACTATTAATCTTCTCATCACTCCTTATCACCCATCCCCTCTCACTTGTGACTGTAAGATTGTAACTTTGTCGCTTGTGTCCTTACGATTTTTATTGACTGTTTCCTAGTATGATTTGATTGCTTATTGTACCCTACGACTATTATAAAGTGTTGTACCTGATGATTCTTGACTCTTGATGAATGTATCTTTTCTTTTATGTACGCTGAGAGCATTTGCACCAAGACAAATGCTTGTGTGCCCAATCACTTGGCCAATAACGAATTCTATGCTATGCTATGCTATGCTATGCTATGCTATGCTATGCTAATTCTATCCTATCCTATCCTATCCTATCCTATCCTATCCTATCCTATGCTAATCCTATCCTATCCTATCCTATCCTATCCAAATCCATTCCTAATCCCACACCATTCCAAGGGTGTCAGAAAAACCTCCCAAGTAAGTCCAGTTGGACGATTTGAAGGAAAGTTTAATCTTGTGCCGATCCTACCCCGATCTTCCTCTACCGCCCGCCCCCCCCGCCCTGCTTTTTCGCTCTCCAAAGAACTTCACATCGGCTGAAGGGGGGGCGAGCGAGCGAGCCAGCGGGGGCGCATCCCTCCCGCAGCCCAACTTGCAGGCGTTTCCAGCCGCTGGCCTTTTAGGGCTCTCCCGGCGGGCCGGAGGCTGCGGGGCGAGGCTCCAACCGGGCCCGCCCTCCTCCGCGATCATTCCCGCCCCGCGCCGGCGCCCTTCTCCGGCCCGAGGGAAACCCGGCCCCGCCGAGGGATGTCCGGCAAGGCAGGCGAAGGCGCCGCTGGAGAGGAAGGGGCGCAAGCGGATCAGGAGGAGGAAGAAGAGGAGGAGGAGGTGGTGGAAGTCCGGCTGGGCGATCGCCGCTTCCCGCCGGTGCGCAAGAAGCGCCTGATCGAGCAGAGCGATTACTTCCGCGCTCTCTACCGCTCGGGCATGCGGGAGGCGGCTGCGGGGGGCGCCGGGTTGGCGGTGCAGCAGCTGCGCGGCGGCCTGAGCGAAGCCGGCCTGGCTCGGGTGCTGCAGTTCATCGAGACGGCGCGGCTGGCCCAGGAGGAGCCGCCCGAAGCCGGAGCGCTGGCCGAGCTGGTGGAGGCCGCCTCCTTCCTGCAGGTGACGCCGCTCCTGCGCCTGCTGCGCTCCCGGGTGCGGCTGCCCAACTGCCTGGAGCTGCATCACCTGGCGCAGGTGTACGGGCTGCCCGAGCTGCGCGAGGCTTGCCTCGACTTCATGGCCGGCCGGCTGCATCAGCTGCTGGCCCGGCCCGAAGCTCGCCTGCCGTTCCTGTTGCCCGACGCCCTGGCGCGCCAGCTGCGCCAGCGCCGCCACCGGGGCCGGCCGGCTCTGCTTCTCCTGGGCAGCTTCCCGGACCGGCCGCCTCTGCTGCGCTACGAGGAGGAGAAGCGGCGCTGGGAGCCTCTGCCGCCCGCCGAGCCGCCCGCCGACCTGCTCCAGGTGCGCGGCTTCGGCTGGGCGGTGTTGGACAACTACTTGTTCGTGGTGGGAGGCTACCGGCCGAGCAGCCAGGAGATCGCAGCCGCGCACCGTTACAACCCCTGGCTGAACGAGTGGCGCCAACTGGCCTCCATGAACCAGAAGAGGTAAGGCTGCCCGGTTTAATGAACTTGGGGAGACCGGAGAGCGGTGTTCCAACATCTCAGGGGCTGCCCCAAAGAAGAGGGAGCGCCTAAAACAATCTAGAACCAAGGAGAACTTTCCTAACAGTTAGAACAATTCATGAGGGGGACAACTTGCCTCCAGAAATGCTCCAACACGGGGAGTTTTTAAGAAGAGATTGGGCAACCTCCAAGGTCTCTTCCAACCCTGTTATTCTGAGTTTGGTGGGCATCCATTCTAATATCTGGTGGAGAATATCAGTGAGCAGGTATGAGGCTATATAGAGAATAAAATTCCTGCTCAAGTGTATTTCTGGAGTTCAATGT